ACACGAGCTAAGTCTGATCTCGCTCTTGTTCGGCTCATTTACACCACAAAATGTTGATGAGCTCACCTGCCAGATAAATTTCATAATTTGATTATTACATCTCTGTATCTATCTCAATTATTTCATGATTTTTTTTATTATTTATTTTGAAGGTTTGTGATTGGAATATGTTGACCTGGCTAGTGTTTGGTGCCCTTAAAATTCTTCCTGATTTATATTTGCTATTGTCATTTAATATGGTGGGGGGATTAATGAGATTATTATAATATAAATCTACATTATTTTGAACAAGTATCCTTGAAGAATAATCTTCTACATTCTCAAAGGCTTTTCTCCATCCTGAATAAAATTGATTAATTAGAAAATAAAATTGCTTATGAGTGAAATTGGTGTTAAGAAAAAATAAACATAAGTATATACATTTTACATGTTTAAATGCATAAAAATTCAATAATATGTGTTTAAATCCCGCATAATTTCGTTGTAGGAATCATTGCTTTAAAAAACAGATCGGCCTGATTGATTGAACCATGAATGATGATTCAGCCGATTCGGTCCAAAATCAGAACTGTTTCTGCTTAGAACTTGGGTTGAACCGGTTGGAATTAGAGTTGAATAGACGAACTGGTCCGATTTTGAAAGAGCCGTCTGATTCACTTATTGTCAAATTTTTAGCCTTTTGATTTTGATCAGATGACTACAAATAAGATATTTAAATTAAGGATAAACTTCATGTCTTAAAATTTTTTATTTATCATATTGTTTAATATATTAAAAATTTATCTTAAATTAAAATATTATTCTTTGAATCATTAAACATTATATTAATAAATTATTATTCCAATATTTAAATTATATTACAATAATTTAAATATTTATTATGTTAACATCTTATTTATTTAAGTGGTTGAACCAGTGAATCTTGGACATTTCCTTCTTCTGATTCAGTGTTCGATCCATTTTCCACGGATGAGAAGGTGAGCATTTCCTGCACCAAAATGTGTCGTGCTCGAAGCTCGCCAACCAAAGAAAAAAAAATTTTCTTTTGAAAAATCAGTCCGAAAGTCTTTCTTATTTGCCCATCCTCCCATTTCTGTCATTCTTTTTCATATTTGGGAAGGCCCCGTTTTTCTTGAATTCATTTGCTGATCTTAAGATAAATTTTTGCTATAATTTTTTAAAAAAATTATTAGATTTAGGTTTTGTAATTGATTGAATATATTTTTTCTTCATAATCAGTGTTGTAATTCCTCGTGATTCACGCCTGAATAAAATTGACATTCGTCGATTTCTCGATAGCCCGTCCTTTAAAAGACCGTCAGAAATCTGTGTAGATAAAAAAAAAATAAAGAGCTTTCTTTCTTTCATTACAATTTCCATTCTTGCAATCGTAACACAAATACAAATTCAAATTTTTATTGTAAAATCTAATTTACCAATTCAAACAATTATTAAAATAAAATTATATGAATGAATGCACAAATTAAACACAGAAATAATCGCAATGCATTGAACCAGAGAATTAAATTATCTGTGCATAAGAATAATATGTTCAACCGTCGCATAAAATAAAATAAAGAACAAGAAATTTCAATCATCTTATCTGTCATCACCCTCCTTCCCGACCTCCTCCTCTACTGGTTGTTTCTCTCTCAGGTGTGCCCGATGTCACAATGCATCTAATTCCATCTTTTTTTTTTTTGTTTTTTTTGCCTCCAATTTATACTTCATCTCAGCAAGCATTGCAATGAATCATGTCTCTATATCAACATTGAATGTGGCATCTTGCCTACGAACCTCATCCTTTTGGGCGACAGAAGTAGATGCACTGAATGTGCTAAACAAGTGAAGAGCATACATTTTGTGTCTATGAACCCAATTTGTAAACTCTTCCTAACTTATTGCCCCCAACAACCTCTCGCCACAACTTATAGTTAGGCTGATAACGACCAAGTTTGTAAGTCGTCATGTGCGCTGAGTTTGAATCATTTTCAAGTGCTCAAATGTTTCCAACAAAAAAATTATTAAAGAAAGAGGCAAAATCATTCAAAAATAATTTGAATTGTATAGTAATTACTCGTGTCACTTATATATGTCACCTAAGATTTGTTGTCAACTCATGTATTGTCTGACTACCGCTTATGGGTACACACATGTGGTTCGGCAGCAGTGGACACTTGCCCTGACTTCAAGGTATGTAAGGTAAGAAACTAGTTATTAAATAAAAATTTTGTAGTAAGATTTAATGCACAAACTAACTGTTATCCTCCTCCTCTCGTACTATGTAAGTGGGATCACCCCGCTAGTATGATTGGAGGCGCCCATACCCTCACAATTAGAACGTCGATTATCCTTGGCATGCTTACTCTTCTTCTCGTTGTCTGGAGTCTCATGCTCTCAGCAATGCATCAAACATATCCTCTATGAGCCATAAAGGGCACTAATGATATGTACCAAGATTAGGATTACTGCCCAGAGCATACCCCAAACTCTCTGAATCATATATCATAAACTGCTATCAGGATCTCTTTCCATGATAGGTTCGGAGTGTCATACTTACTCGTATGATATCCTGAATAACATAAAACATAGGTTTTTGATTCCATATAAAGAGCCTTACATAAAGTTTTTTGATGATTCTGATCGTCAATTTTTAAGAAAATCAAAACTGACTAGAACATGCGTCGGTTAATATTTCATGATCATCAGTTATTAGTTGGCTAAAACCCTACGACTAGACTTTCTGACACTTTATGACCTTCATTTTATAATTTGTTAATAATCGACAATTTTAATCATCGATTAATATTTTATGATCATCAATTATTAAATTTACTATAAATCCATAGGTCTACCGGTAGGAAAATCGTCGGTTATCTTAACCGTTAGAAAGTCGTATAAATTAAAGATAAAATTACCAACATACTCTTGATTGTTGGTTTTTCCATAAATTTTTTGCCATATTTCCTATAGTGGACCTAATGATAGTAGCTCGGACAGGGCCAATTTGTATAGTTAATGGATTATTTCACATTCGCTTGTCATGTCAAGATAAAAATATATATAATTTGTGCATGTGTGTTTGTGTTGAATGAAACATAAACTATAAGAATAAGGCTGTCTATAATGAACTTCTCTAAGAAAATAAAATTCATTTATAATATTCTATTATATAAATATGAGAAATATTTACTTTAGTTCAATTGTGACTATTTTGATTATGTTAATAATCTTACAAGCGTGCATCAAGTTGCACATGATTGCTAATGTTAGAAGACCAAAAGATATGTTAAATTTGATGCATTCATTTTGACATGGTAAGCAAGCAAGTATATCTTGTTAAATATATCGGTATATCTCCTTTATATTCACCATATGAACATATCATTTTAAATTGTTATTGCAGATGTTATTAGGAGGTAGTGATAGACTCTTCTCAAAGGTATATCTCCTTTATATTCACCATAAAAAGACAGCATCCCGACCTCAAAGACAAACTGATGCCCATCATTAAATCACATTACCGCCGCCCAAGGTTGCCTTATTTTAACCATACTCATCAAATCCACGAATCAACATGTTACATATTTTATAAAGTTCAAAATCATCTCTCTTTTGGAGCTATCATTTTGGGTCAATTTTATTGCCCTCCTAAGTGTCTTCCTTTTCAGTTTATTGGAGTTGTTAAAATTGATGGACCTCCTTTTGTAGTTCTATGTATACTACATTCAATATTTTTTAACCAAGAAACTTATCTTAGCATATCCTACTTCTTGTATTTTGCATATACTTCACTCGATCAATTATGGATGAAGTTATGCCAATTTTTAGCCAAATCTTATTTTATTGTTGCCTTTTTTTTTAAGTGATTTATTTAAATGATTATATGTATGTTATTAATCATTCATTTCAAGCAATTTAATTAAATATATATTTTTATTTTTTACTTTGATGCGGACACATAATATATACTCTAATAGAAATTGTTTTATGACATTAAACATTTATGGTAACCAAATTATAGTATTTTGCGATTGAACTTGCGATTCAAAGGTTAAACCTCTCGTGTGTTATCCGATAAAATATTATGTCTGACATTTGAACGTACAGAAAACTATAATTCCTCAAAGATCTACACCTTTAATGCACATTGGAAAAGACTCAAAATTTAAAAATAAATAAATAAATAAATAACCAAAATAGCAGTACCGTGATTACCACCAGCTACAGACCCTTTAAATGGCTATTTTCTTTTTTCTATTTTTGGAACAACAGTAAACATCCGTTTACCGTTCAGGTAAGTTCTCTGAAAAGTCGGGTTCCTTATCCAGAACGACAGCCTGGGTCTGTGAGTGAATTTTAAAATATATTAATTTTTTTGAGTATATAATAATTTTAAAAATATCATAAATTATATATATTTATTTATTTATTAATTTATTTATTTATATTTATATAAAATCAGACGGACGCCGCTCATGGCGAGCGAAAGACGACAAGCCTCGAAGTGCACCCAGTGGCCCCACCATCAGCCAGTGGCAAACCTTCGAGATGGCGGGGATGGTCCTCATTTGGGTCAAAAAATGGTCCTTTTTTATTTTGTCATGGAAAGTAGCAGTTAGTGCTTCCCTTCCTCACGTGTGGAGTGCTTCCCCCCGGTTGCCATCTAATTATGAGACCGCCCGCATGATGATCTCCATGGGGAGGCAGAGCAGACGGCAGATCGATTCGCTCGCAGAGGAAAACAATTATGCGTGGATACGAATGGGAATGATGAATATTTTCGGGGACTTTTATGCAAATTTAAGATTATTTCCTCGTTTACGAAATTACCCGGGGGTGAGGGCTTGTCCGGGAAATAGAGGGCGCTTTAAAAGCAGCGAGAGTGTTGGGGAGCAACGAAACGGAGGGGGATTGGGGGTTCCGGATTTTACAGGCCATCGGTGATCTCCTCTATAGTTTTCTTTCTTATGGTGGTCATCGATTACTTTGGGTTTCCTCTGATCCCATCCACGTTTCTGTTGGATTCTACGGCGAGATCCCGGCGATCCGGCGATGATTTTTGGAATGTAGGCGTTTGGCTCCGGTGAGGTTCTTGGAGCTCATCGTATGGTTTGTCGTAGATAATTCGATGTCGTTGTTGGTTTTATCGTCATTTGACTTTTTGTTTCTTGTTTTGTTGTGTTAGACAGTGAGTTTTTTTTTTTTTTTTGGGTAGGAGGTGATGGAAAGGCTGTTTCTGCTTTGGTTATGAGTTTCAGTGGTTTATTAAAGGTTGAGAGGAAGGCTGGATCTACTGGGGTAAGGATATTTTGTCTGGATAGACTTCTGGGTGTTGCTTTAATGGTTCTTAAATGCTTTTGCTCTGGCGGTTTATTTATAGGTGAGGATAAGTAGTGAAGCATAACTTGGCGGGAGTTCTGCTGCTATAGGAATTTCAAGTTTTCGGATTCTGATTCTGGCCCTCTGATCTGTTTTTCTGTGGTTTTGATTATTGGCTTAGATCAGTCCAAACATTTTCTTGCCTGGAAATGTTGATATTTAAATGGATGATAGACATGTGTTGAAGCTTGGGGTGTGATTGATCTGGTACTCATTCCTGGGAGTCTTTCTGACGAAATATCAGAGATCAAGGTTTATCTGAGGTGAGAGTATTGGTGGAGGCTTTCATTTGGTACCGTAGTCGTGTTTGTGTCCCCCGTAGAAGAATTTGTTTTCATTTCTTCTGAATTATTTAAGCCTTTTTATTCCTCGTCTGTTTAAGTTCGATATGGTGACTTGTGGCTATTTTTATTCTGTCAATTTGATTTATGCTGAATTTATCAGTTCGTCATGACATTTTGGGCTAGAAACCGCTTCGATTTTAAGTACAGAGTTGGCACCAGCTGGAGCATGTGCTTTGGTGGACCAATTTTACAATAGCTCGGGAATGTTTTGAACTATTTTTTTTATTGGTTTCATCTTGGCCCGCCTTCCAAATATCATGGATATGAATTTCTTTCCCCGTGAAAAATATTGTTGAGGAAATAGCTTTCAAAAAGATCTTACATGTGAACATGGTTTCATCATATATTGAAGGCCTCCAAGAAGGTGGTAATTTATAGTAATTTAATTGCCTGATTCAACTATATTATTTGAAGTGTAGCTGCGGAGCTATGCTCTGTTAACATGATCAGAGATTCAGAGTTTTAAAAGGCATAAAGAAATTTCCTATTATTTGAAATGATTTTCTTAGGTTCTTCCGAAAAGAATCAATGAAAACACAGCCTAAGTGATATCTTTGCATAGAAGTTCTTAGTGGAAATAACCCACCACATAATCTCTGCAGGGAATAACAGGTCAATTATGCTGATGAAATATTTTTTTTGTAAATTTGAACCGAGTTAACATCAAACTGCTGTTTTTGGTTGTTTTTTTTTTTCAACATTATACTCGAAAAGCGAATCTATCTTTCTGATTATAGAATTGAAACATGATTGGTTTAAATCAATATCCTCCCATTTTGTAAGTATTTTCAGCAATCTCATAACTTGTCTGGCGTTGTTAGTTGTCTGTATTTAAGTAGGTGTATTTAATATTGGTTTCATGACTGAACTAATATGTTTTATTTTTTCCTTTTCTCACTCAGGAATATTGTACTTCTAGAAAGGGATATGATGTTTCTAACTCATTCCATCGAAAAAAATAGAGACAAAGGGATGCTGACCGCTAAACCAGAAAGCATGTGTGGAAAAGGAGATTTGCATCATCAAATTTGCATGTCAATGGAACAGGATTGCTGCTCTTTTCATAAATGTATAATAGAATTCATGCTTATAGCTAAAAATGTAAACCTTTTAAAAGAGATGAAGAAATGTCTATCTGAGATAGACCCGGTTAGATCCTGTGTGGATGGAACTCAACTGACAAATAAGAAAATGACAGTAAAAAGGCAGCCTGGAAGTTTATACAATGTGAGAAGATCTAATGATTGTCTTATCCCGGGGCTTCATGATGACATAGCTCTAGATGTTTTGGCCTTTGCTTGTAGATCGGACTATTCTTCACTAGCTTGTCTTAATAAAAGCTTTAATTTATTGGTTGGTAGTGGATACCTCTACAAATGGAGGAGACGACTTGGAATCGTTGAGCACTGGGTGTATTTAGCATGCAGTTTAATGCCATGGGAGGCTTTTGATCCTACAAGGCTGAGGTGGATGAGGCTGCCACGGATGCCTTGTGATGACTGCTTTTCTTATGCTGATAAGGAGTCTCTTGCTGTGGGGACTCAACTTCTAGTATTTGGTAGGGAGTTAACAGGTTTTGCAATTTGGATGTATAGTTTAGTAAGACGTGATTGGACGCGGTGTCCTCTGATGAACTTACCCCGCTGCCTATTTGGTTCCGGCAGCTCTGGTGAAATTGCTATTGTTGCTGGCGGCAGTGATAAGAATGGCCGTGTTTTAAAATGTGCTGAAATGTACAATTCCGAGTTGGGTAGATGGGAAACTTTGCCTGATATGAACTTACCAAGGAAAATGTGTTCCGGTTTTTTTATGGATGGTAACTTTTATGTAATAGGGGGCATGTCAAGCCATACTGACTCTTTAACATGCGGTGAAGAATACAATCTTGAGACAAGGACGTGGAGGAGAATCCAAAACATGTTCCCTGGAGGTAATAGGGCTACCCACCAGTCTCCACCTCTTGTTGCAGTTGTAAATAATCAGCTTTACGCTGCAGATCAATCTACAAATGAAGTTAAAAAGTATAATAAATTGAATAATACATGGAATGTTGTAAAGCCTTTACCAGTCAGAGCTGATTCTTATAATGGTTGGGGCCTTGCATTTAAGGCATGTGGTGACAAATTATTGGTGATTGGTGGACATAGGGGGCAGCAAGGTGAAGTCATTGTACTACGATCTTGGTGTCCAGAGGATAGAAATAATGGAGGGCCGGAGTGGGAGGCACTTTCTGTTAGGGAAAGGGCTGGCGCTTTTGTTTACAATTGTGCAATAATGGGATGCTAATGAAAGTACTACATTATGGATACAAAAGCTTTAGTATTGGAGAAATCAATTAAAAGGTGTGTTCATGGTGCATGAATTTTTATGCCTTGCATGGTCTTCGTTGGAATTTGCGTATTGGAGAAAGCTATTACCTCATTTAATTGGTGAAGCGGATTGTCGCTCTTTGGTATTTTTCTGTTTCATGTACTTGCACTGGTTGCTTGTTAGCTTATCAGTTGGCATTACCTTTGCAGTACTTTCTATTGAGCAGCATTTAGTTGTTTTGGAGGCTTATTCTGTTTTCCCTTGTTGTTCTTTCTACCCCTTCCTCTGTCCCACCCCTCTTTTTTTTTCTCCCACTTTTCAGCAATTTAAATTAATAATTTTAGGGCCATTGGCATAAAATGTTATTCAGTATGAAGGAAACTCACTAACTTTACTGACTTATTTCAACTTCAGTCTTTGTTTCATTGTTAGTCTTTGTCTATCTATTTTTTTCTATGCATGTAGCCTAGTTTGTTTCTCTACATTTTGAATATATATTTGCATGCTCGACATCTCTTTTTTTAAAAATATTCAAGTTCTTATGCGAACATTGTGCTCAATCTTTGCATTGTTTTTTTCTCATAGAATTCTCAATGTTCCATTCACCATTGGCATGATTCTATAATTTCTTGTGACTTGGCACATGCTCATTTTTTTATCTATTTTTGAATGATGCCTTGAATTTTTTAATCTTGGGTTTGCATTATTTTGCTGGTTTATGCTGTTTTACTCTTGTACAATCCTATGGTTCATGTTCAGTGATGCACCGACATTTTTTTTAGATAGCAATATGCAACACAGACACACGTGCGACATATTTCTGACACGCCTCTGACATGTGTCAAACACTACATTAGCATGCCCAATTAAAAAAAAAAGAAAAAAAAAGTGTTGCAAATATGTCCTTCAACAACATAAGTGCGAGCAACCTGCTTTGGTCCGTTGCATCTAGCCCGTAAGCCTCTCACGGCAAAGCATCGTAAGTTTTTTTTTTTTTTTTTTAAGTTGGTCTATTTTTCCAATAATTAGAAGCATGATATCTTTGTATTAAGTTAAAATATAATTAATCCCATGGTGTTTTGGGTTGGAGGATTTAATGCTAATTTATATGGAATTGTGTTTTCAGGGTCAATTGTTATTTTTCTTTCACTAATTCTCTTTTTTTTTAGTTTGTACAAAATTTATATAATATTTTAATTTTAAAAATAAATAATTATAATTACATGTCGAAGACATATTCATTTACTAGACATTTTCAATATGTCCTAAATATGCATCATGTCTGTTTTTATATTGGTGCATCAAAGTTTATGTGGAAATCCATTTATCTCTATTGTTGCTTTTACTTTTGATACAATATTTCTTTATCTTCTAATTAGATTTTAGATGGTTATATTGATGATTAGAAAACATTGGTAATTGGAACGTGGGCATATTTAATAATAACACAATTTACATTCTGTCCATTTTTTCGTTTCTTCTTGGTTTCTCTAAGCAAGTGTTGATATCTTTTACTTGGTATTATTAGGACAACATCATAACTTTAACCCTGCACTAGATGCTGAAACATTTCTCTAGAAGTGTTGCTAGAAAAGATGTAAGATTGAGTATGAATTTTACTGTTACTCAGAGTATGTTCTTCTTTTCTTCTAGTTTTATGTGATAGGATTAGGTGCCGGAAGTCCTATGAATTAGCATTGAGTTCTCTGTAGTTTCAGCTCAGTGGCTAGTTGATTAAAAGATTTGGTTGGGGAAGGTGTGGATATCTATCTTTAAACATGTTCATTAGTTAAGTGACTTTTTGTGCTAAAAAGAACAGCTATTGAAAGAATGATTTCTATAAGTAATTATCCTACGGCCTTATTTCAAAGGCCAATCTTTTTAAGGCATTTGTATAGGTACGTAGTCTATGGATTGAAATGGCCCCGAGCTTAGTGTTGATCTGTTATTGCGCACTGTGTTATGCCACCTAATGAGGAATTGGTTGCCCGTTTAATGAGTTATATCAATTTGTGTCATAGAATTACCTATGGCGGCCGACCCATTTCTAGCTGTATTTCAATTGTCAACAATGCCTTTGATTTTATCGGATCATCTTCTTGGAAAAAAAGTTACTAAATCCTCCGTAGTATATGCATGACCAACTATTTATTCCAATATTTTCTTTCTTCTTTCTGGCAACTCAGATTACAAGTTTTTAATTCATGCATTAAACTTAATGCTAGTTCCCTTCAAAAAAAAATAAATAAATAAAATAATGCTTGTTATTTTGTAATCAGCTCTATATTGTGTAACCCCTTCTCTATCAATTAATTCCCACTTCAACAATACAATGAATTTCAACTTGGAGGGAGGGAGGGAGGGAGGGAGGGAGGAGACGTCAGTTTGAGCTTGGAGATAATAATGATTAAAGATCAAGTAGTTGAAGACTTTATTACTTGGAGGTTATGTCTCCTCGGAGCATCGTGGGTTCTGCTACATGAATACTTTTTCTCTGTTAGAAGAGGCATGAATTAGATCCTTTAGCAAATATATCAAAAGGGAGCTTTGACAAAGACATCGACAGGCAATGCTGACTAAGGATATTAATATATCATTTAACAAAGATATCAAAAGTGAGCTTTGACGAAGATATATTGTTGGAGATTGTTGACAAAGAATATTGTGATATAAAGTCAATTAAGAAGTCAACCTAGCATGGATAATAAAAAAGAACACAATTGCTGCCAGAGAATATAAGTAGATTGCAGTGGCGAACAAATGTTATGTGAAATATAAGTAGATTGCAGTGGCGAACAAAAGATAAGTGAAATAAATTAAGCCAAGTGCCAAATGATTGATGACGGGGATAAACTGTAAGATGTGTTTGCCCTGGTGAGAGTTTCAGCACTAAGGGAAAGGAGTGCCTCATTTTGGGTGGTGCAATGACACTGCTTGTGGTATCTATTAGATGGCTTGTTCCGTGAGCTCACAACTGATGATTGCTGTTGTCAAGAAAGTGATGTAAGTCATTTACTTTAGTGTCTCATGAGGTTGCATGCAGATCAACGAGGGTGTTTGACCAATAAGGTCAAAGGCTTAGCCTTGCTATAAGTATGGACACGAACAAGGGGGAAATTGAAGTTGCAAGCCATTTTGCAATAGAAAATACACTACTTGGATAATTGGGTTACCTTTAATATTATCCTTTGATCCTGTGCGTCTGAATGATGTTCCCTGTAGCACTGAAAAATCCAATAAATTATGAAATGGACATGCTTCAAGAACATTGATGAATGTATTGCACAGCACAACTCAACTCAGCTTAGCTCAACGTTACTAGGCTATGCGCTGCTGGAGAAGCAGTGCATTAACTAATCATGCTGTGTGAACAGGATAACAATGCATTATTAGATTACATATTCTCCATGCATTCATCATTGGGATTTGGCTCTTACCTAATGTTATTTAATTTAGCAAACCATGAATACTCAACTTGGGTAACTGGATTATTTCCTTTGAGATTGTCTTTCGACTCTGTTCTGATGGGTTTTCCTTCTTAAGTGCTGCAAAGTTACTTAAATTAATGTTAAAGTTTGATGGAGAATGCTTATTGTGCACCCTTTTTATCTTAATTAACATTCTACTCCGCCGTCTTTATCTTCTACATTAGATTTGTGGCTGCTGTCAGATAAGAGAAACTTGATAAAACTGTAGTCAACGGAAATGTACTTTAAAATATTATTGAAGTTCAAGATGTTCCATACCTACAAGCCTCTAGTTCCTCCTTTAAATGGATGCCAAGTTGTTTCTTATATTCTTGTAAGTCCCACTTTTTCTCCTATCATGGCTTTCTGGCCTCCTCCTTTCTCACTCTGATTTGCATTCAATGTGTACAATTTGGTTTTCATTTATAGAATCTGATTTGAACTGTATTCATTGGTGGCTTCGTCTGTCATCAATTTCTCCATCTGTTTGATCTATGTAATTTAGTTGTGATTCACAATAATTCAGTTTTGCTTCAATCTAAAATTGTAAATGCAAATTAGCATTTTTTTCAAAGTACTTTTTACCTTTGCTTTCAATTATTTGTTTTCTTGAACTTTTCATTCATTAGTTCATGGAACCTAAACAGAATAAGTAGGTTTCTTATCCTTGACTACTTCCCAAATCTTTTGAATATTTTTTTTTGTCATCCAAATTATAATATTATTACTTTCTTAATTGGAATTTAAGTTGGGTGGTTCTGAATGTTAGGCTGTATAATATTTGAGTGTTACAGATATGAGAATATTAAGAGTTTTAAGATGAATGTGATAAAATTATGAATGATAAATTAAAGAAAATGATTGTATCAGAAAAAAAATGTTTAATAATTTCCATCGAAGATAATGTAATTAAAAATATATTTAAGTGGTTTGAATGTAAATAATAAGGTATGGAAATGCACCATTAAAAGAGTTGATAGAATTAGTTTTGGAAGATTAGAAAGGAAAAAAGTGCAGCCAAACAGCTGACAGAGGAACGATTGTGGGAATAAATGAAAAATGATTATTCATAATGCAAAAGACCCCAAATTATTTGGATAAGATATTGATATGATGATGGTAATACCTTTTCAATTTAATTAAATATATCATTAAATGTCTTTAATGTGGTCTTATTCGATCTCCGAGTATTTGTTGGTTGTACTACAGTAAAGCAGCGAATTAGTAGAACTACCATTAATATCTCTTCGTGATTATGCTCAGAAAAAAAAAATGTATTGATGATCTCTTCTAAGATTTTGCTGCTGTTTTTTGTTTATCGCTTGAGACATCTCCCTAAGTTTGATTCTACTTTTCTTTTGCTTAACATTTTGAAAAGCAGTTTTAATTTACATGAAAAAATCCTTTAAAAAATATTATTATTCTAAACATTATTTTATACATTTTCTGCCGTATATGAATCAATTTACAAACTTATTTCTTACAAAACATCAAAGCAGGCTCGTCATGCTAATTCTTCTTGTAAATGTAGAAAATTCATGGCTGGATTTCTACAATACCTCCATTTGTAAAAACAATATGGCAACGTTCAATTTTGCCACGAATGAGTTTTGGATTTATCCGTGGGATCATAATATTGACCAAGCAATAAAGCAATTGAAAATTCATTGTGGAATTATGAGCGTCTGATATTTTGTTTTGAGGCCTTTTGCCTTTAGAGTCTTACTGCTTCAAATTTCCTCTTTTGTCTTAGTGGTGGGCTGTATGCATTCTTTTATTCTGTTGAAGTGGCTTTCGCTGAAAATGTCTCCGACACTGACTTTTTAACTTTTTTATCCGCTTTTACCTCGTCAGTTTTGCTGTACGGTTCCAATTTTTTAGTGCGTGTTTGGATTGTATTCTCTTTGTATTTAATAATTATGGCCTAAACAT